CACCGCTGCCTTAAGTGCCCCAGGGAACAGTCCCTCCAAGAGCTACTTGTTGATAATCTCCCTTAGGGCACCTCAAAACCCCTTGTGGCCAGCGTTAATTAGCCACAAAGGGCACAGATTAAGGGAGCATGTGGTGGGGTCTACAGTTAGGAGCAATTTGTCAACTTCCTCTAGGCTGAGTGGACTGATGTGATCCATAACCTGACTAGAAGACATGCATGGGGCCTCAAGTTCGCTTACTTTCTCAACTGTGGTGGGGAGGTCACGGTGGAGTTACAAGACTTTATTTGCAAAATAGCTCACAAAAGCCAATTTCCTAGCGTTTGGTCTGCCTTGCAGCAGGGCAGTAATGGACCGAATTGTTCTAAACAGTTGGACTGGGCATGAGCTTGCAGACGCAATCGCAACCAAATAATACTGTCTCTTAGCGGCCTTGACTGTCACCTCATAGGATCTCATAAACTTCTTATAAGATGTTCTTGTAGCTTTGTCGCAGGCATGCCACCACCGTCTCTCTAGCTGTCTTAGCCCTTGCTTCATCAGCAGCAGCTCCTGGGTAAACCATGGAGCGGGCCTAGAGCGAGGGTGCAGAGGATGATGTGTTTCAGCTCCTGTGAGTTTGTCAGTCTCGTAAGTCCAAAGTCGCCCATTGTATGGGGGAGACTAGAAGACATGCATGGGGCCTCAAGTTCGCTTACTTTCTCAACTGTGGTGGGGAGGTCACGGTGGAGTTACAAGACTTTATTTGCAAAATAGCTCACAAAAGCCAATTTCCTAGCGTTTGGTCTGCCTTGCAGCAGGGCAGTAATGGACCGAATTGTTCTAAACAGTTGGACTGGGCATGAGCTTGCAGACGCAATCGCAACCAAATAATACTGTCTCTTAGCGGCCTTGACTGTCACCTCATAGGATCTCATAAACTTCTTATAAGATGTTCTTGTAGCTTTGTCGCAGGCATGCCACCACCGTCTCTCTAGCTGTCTTAGCCCTTGCTTCATCAGCAGCAGCTCCTGGGTAAACCATGGAGCGGGCCTAGAGCGAGGGTGCAGAGGATGATGTGTTTCAGCTCCTGTGAGTTTGTCAGTCTCGTAAGTCCAAAGTCGCCCATTGTATGGGGGAGGAGTCTTCTGGGAGATGCTCTGGAGAGCTTTTTTAGTCTTGTGTCACTAAATTGAAAAAAGATTGGGGAGTATTTTTGCCTATGCCCTATAGCAGCTGCATCGTAATGTTTATTTCCTGCCCTTCCTTGCAGATTTGAGTGGTTTTCTCTTTATGATTCCCTAATTTGATCCTGCACACTGGTCGTGATCTTGGCAGTTCTTTCGAGGCTGTCCTGTGTGGTTTGCACTCTTCCTCCAAATGGATCAATCTCAAGTGATTCTTAAGTTTGGTGGTTTGCAGAAGGTCCATGTGGCTCAGCTGCCATTTTAATGTCAGGCTTTCGGAAACTGCCATAATAGTTCCGTCCCCCCCCAAAAAAAAACCCACTTTGTTAACTGAAGCATTAAAGTGAAAATGTTTTCAGAACATTCATTCAGAAATTTCATTCCGTTCTGATGATCCCCCCCTTTATTTTGTTTGTATGCTGCACTGAAATCCTGTTGATTAATTTTTTTGCACTGGACATGCCGGCCTTTGCCTCCTCTCTGATCCCCCTTTCAAATCAATACCAGCAGGAACTAAATCTTGTGTAGCTCCTTTTAAACTCCCCCCGTGGTTTAAATTTTTTTATTCAGTGATCCAAGACTCATGCTACTTGCAAAAAAATTAAAAATTAAAAAATGAGGGGAAAATGGAGCTTGTACACTGATGAACAGGAAAGGATGGCAGAAGGTGCAGAGTGGGCAGAACAACCTTGATGTGGGTGGGGTGTGACCTTTGAGGGGCAGGAAAAGGGCGTGGGGGGAATCCAAGGAAATCTGTATGCTTTTCAATTAACTTTGGCTTGGAAGCAAAACAAGGGAAAAATCAACACAAAAGCACTCTCAGAAAACCCTGGGAAACAGCAACCAGAAAGTGAACTGAGAGCTGAAGGGAGGAAAATCAGTGCAGAATGAAAAAGCAAACCTGACAGACATGCACGGTGAAAGTGAGGGAAAATATCCGTTCATAATAGGCCATTGTCTGAAAACAGAAACTCTGTTTATCATGATGATGTTGTTCAGCAGGAATATCACAAACTGTCCTGTTAGAGATACCCCTGTCGAGTACATATCTGCTGAGTTGTGCACTCTCCATGCTATTGCTGCATCTTGTCTCTCTGCCCCTTCTGAGTTGTGTTCTTTCCATGCTATTGCTGCCCTGAGAGCTGGTTTGGTGTAGTGGTTAAGAGTAGCAGGACTCTAATCTGGAGAATCGGGTTTGATTCCCCACTCCTCCACATGAAACCAGCTGGGTGACCTTGGGTTAGTCACAGCTCTCTCAGAGCTCTCTCAGCCCCACCTACCTCACAGGGTGTATGTTGTGGGGAGAGGAAGGGAAGGTGATTGTAAGCCACTTCAAGACTCCTTCAGGTAGTGAAGGGCAGGGTATAAAACCAACTCTTCTTCGTCAGCCTAGAAAACTCAAAGCAAACAGCAAGGCACCAGAATAACAGTCAGATCAGAATATTTATGATTGCTATTGAATCTGGAAATTGTAACAGCTGATTTGATTCTATTAACTATATTAAAGAATAGGTATGATTCAGTTCAGATCTTGATTTGTTATTATCCAGATACCTATCTCTACTGATTACATGACATCACTGTTGATGACAGACTAAGGCCAATTTGTAAGGGGGGGGGAATCACGCTCAAAAAAGCTAATTGGAACTGTGGAGAGGCTTGCAATGGAGCACTGCTACTACTGGCTAATGTCAGAAATTGGGGGGGGTATTGCCAAAATGTGTGCAGGGGGTATCTATTGTGCTTCACAGTTGAGAAAAAGCTCTTTGCATAGGAGAAAATGCCCACCCCTATTTTAGCTTACCCTTACTTTGTGGGATTTTAATTTTAGTAACATGAAATATTAGATAGTGAAACTGGAGCCTGCTACTACTCACTTGAGCTGTGTGCAATATATGATGTTCATAAGTGCTAAAAAAGAAATTATACTAAATAGTTTGAGGTTTAAAAATGTACCTCTCATTTAGCCAGTAGACAGGTGGCAATGACTTGCTTGAAACTGCCATAGTGGCTCATCTTGCTATATTTTTCTTGTCAAGGGGTAAGGGACACCCCCAATTCCCACTAGGGCCGAACCTGAGCCACTAGGGGGCAGTTAGTTGCCTGCTAGGTAGCAGTGTTCTGGCGCTGGCAGGACCCCATTGACTGCTCAGCCAGGAGCCAACAACACAAACATGGCCTGACAGAGTGATAGGGATCAGGAGATTGCTACAGACAGTAGCTGTGTTGGTCTGCAGTAGAAGAGCTTTCATTTGAAGTCAGTAGCTTCTTGGAAACCAACAGAACTTCCAGGGCATGAGCTTTCAAGAGTCAAAGCTCTATTTGTCAGATACCTTGTTATTATTACTGATGATTGTAAGGGCACTTCTGGATGGCTCTAATCCTGGGGAATGTATGAACTATTTCACTACTTCTATTTCTGGCCACTGTGTGATACAGAGTGTTGGACTGGATGGGCCTTGGCCTAATTCAACATTGGCATCTCTTATGTTCTTATATATATAAAAGAAAGTCCCCTGACTGTAAAATCAACGCCCAGGCCAAACTGCTAGACCTAGAAACACCAAATTTGGGGGGAGCGCTCCTACCATGGCGTAGATGCTCACTAAGAAGGGAGTTTTAGAAATTCGACCCCTAAGGGGGTCAAAAGGGGTAAATGTGTTCCCCCATTGATTCCCATGAGACTGCTAGGCTGCTGCCTCCCTGCACCTCCCACTCTCTGATTGGTCAGCTGCAGAGCTCAGTGTTCTGAGGTTAAAAAAACACCAGTTACAGGGGACTACAGAGAGCTAATGACAGTTGAGGAAATCAGGAGTGGCCAACCGCCTGTGAGGTGAAGCAAAGCTGTTTGCCCAGCCTCCCTATGGCTTCAAACATGCTCCGCCCTCCTACACCTGACAGGCAGTTGTCTGTCAGGTGCAGCAGCAGTTGCAGGGTGCTTAAAGCCATGAGGGAGCCTGCCCCAGCAGTAACGCCTTAGTGATCCTGCCAGCCCCGCCTCCACAGTGGCTTCTAATACTCCTATAATCCCCCCAACACCACACACACGGGTGTCTGTCAGGTGTAGGAGCAGGACCAGAGTACTTTAATCCATCAGGGACGTCGCCCCAGTAGGATCACCTTAGCGATGCTGCTGGCCCAGCCTCTCTGATGGCTTCCAACACACTCCCCCACCTCCTACACCTAACAGGCGGTTGTCTGTCAGGTGCAGCAGCGGTTGCAGGGTGCTTAAAGCCACAAGGGAGCCCACCCCACCAGTCTACAGAGAGATCCTTCAGTAAAGAAAACGAAAGTATGTATATTTCACTTCATTTTTTACACTACAATCTTCTCCATTAGAATTCCTACAACAAATGTTACATTTCAAACTTGACATCATCAGTATTATAACTAGATTTATGGAAGTTAAATACCGTAGCGAAGCACGGCTATCAGGCTAGTCTTGTAATATGCAAGGGATCTGGGGGGGCAATTATGGGGTTAAAACTGGGAACAGGAAAGTATGAGGCTGAAAGTACAAGCCAATCAGCTCACCAGCTCTTGACAGAAGGCTCACCAGTTTTTGTTAGTGTATTTTTATAATTGTTGTTTTTAAACTGAGTCTACTTTGGTGGGGAGGGCGGGGTATAAATCAAATTTAAAAATTAAATTTGTTGTAAGCTGCGCTGAGCCCCTTTTGGAGAGAATAAGCGTGTAAAGGATTCTGCAGGTAAAACATTACTTTCTGTATTGTGCCATAAGTTTTCACAAATGCTATAGCTTTCAGAAGAGTATTACTTGAATGCTGTGAAGTACAATGCCAAAAGCATTTACTGCGTCTCTCTTATTTATTAGGACCTGTATCCACCACTACAGTGATAGACAGCAAGAATGGAACTGTCCCCATGCCACATGTGAAAATGTCCAAGAAAGTTTCAGAAGACTTTGTGACAACATTCAGCTCACCAGCGGCATGGCTACTTGTTGTTGCACTGATTGTTACCTGGTCAGCTGTGGCTATTGTCATGTTTGATTTGGTGGATTACAAAACACTGGCAGGTAAGACTCAAATATGATCTAAAACATGAAAGGTATAACATGGGAAGAGAGCCCATTTAGCCTGAGTGTCAAAAATCAAAACAAACACCACCTTCTAGTTGTGATGATGATGATGGTAGTGTGTCAGCAAACAAAATGTGGGTAGCTAATGAAAAGTATAATCTGTGCCTTTTCCCATGTTGTTGACGCCAGTGGTGCTGTGAGTTACTCTGGGCCTTGCCTTGGTTGCTTGGGCAGAGATCTGGCCTAGTGTGCTGAGCAAAAGGTCTGGCATGCCTCTGTTTGACACCTATGCCAGGGGTTGCCTACCCCTTTGGTAGACACTGTTGGGGAGCTTATCTTGTGAACCACTCAAAACTATTGCTATCTCCAAGTTAACCAAGAATAACTATTTTGAAATACTATATTCCACTCTTCTGATTTTCTATTACCTGATATAACCAGCTATCACTCATAAAATGAGGTTTCCATTGGGGGGGCATCATTACTGATAGACTTACGTTTGATATCTACAAGATGTACATTTTAGTTTACATCTCTCTGGTGTATTGGTCAAAAGGCAGAAATGTTGCTAAATAGTATTTACAACTGGACATAATCACTGTATGAGAGTCTAAAGCTAGTGAAAGACTCTTTTCATAGAAACTTAGATGAGGGCTTCTGTTTCTGGTAGCATTTTGTGGAAAAGGAGTTTAGTAATAATATTTAACATCAGTCTTGGTTTCTAACGGAGTGATTGTCAGTGCCACTGAGTGCAATTGACTTAGGAGCAGTGTTCCCTCTAAGCTGAGTTAGCATGAGCTAGCTTACAGTTTCTTAGCCTCCAGCTCACAGGTTTTTGTCTTAGCTCAGAAAGGATGGCTCCAGAGCAAACTAATGTATGCAGTAGCCAAATCGCTTGCTCACAACTTTAATGCCAGCAGCTCACAAAGTAGAATTTTTGCTCACAAGACTCCACAACTTAAAGGGAGCATTGCTTAGGAGGGTGTAACACTGCTTTGGATAGCCTTGTGTGGCTTGGATCCTAAGTAGCATGATCAGAGATACATTAGAGGGAAACCTACCTCCCCCCCCCCACTGTAGCCTTCTCTGTCCCATGAAATCATGTCCCTGTGGTTTGGTGAAGCCAAAGGAACAGTGGGGGAGGGGGGCAAATTGGGAGTCCGCAGCTGGAGGAGGGAATTGGAGAAAATCGCCCTCCCTTCTTCCACAGACAGGAAAGATGCTCTGCAGGTGGAGCTGCTGCTGTGCTGATGGAATGGCACCATAGGCTCTAAGCCAGTGATAGCAAACCTTTTAGAGACCGAGTGCCCAAACTGCGACCCAAAACCCACTTATTTATCGCAAAGTGCCAACACAGCAATTTAACCTGAATACTGAGGTTTTACTTTAGAAAAAACAACTCATACATTAACTTAAGATGATCCAAACAAAGTAAGGAAAGCAATCCCAAATGCTTTCATTTACTTAAAATTATTTGGCAGAGAATTCGACACTTTAATGATGGTCTGGGCCTGGCTGGGGCCATGGCACGCGTGCCCACAGAGAGGGCTCTGAGTGCCACCTCTGGCACCCATGCCATAGGTTCACCCTTATCTACAGTGTACAGTTTCTCATGTTGTACTTGATGATGCACACCACACATACACCATGCTGATGCTTAGTATGGCCACCGTTTTTTAAACCAGATGAGGTCCATTCATGGAAAGGGTAGCTGTTCCAAAGGGAAAAAAGTAGATTTCTTTTGGGGCACTGTCAGGCATACCTTCTGGACTATGGCCTTGAGCTTAATTGTCCACACATTTAATAAAATAATTTTATCCTGCTTTCCATCTGTATTACATATCTTATCCATAGGGTTGCCTTGCTCTTGGCTGGCAACCTGTGGGAGCTTTGAGAGGGTGGGGCTAGGCATCCCCAATGCCACGACAACACTTCCAGTTGAGTAACCTCACAGTTTTGCCTTGACACTCTAGCAATCTCCCAATGTTTTTAACCATAAAAATTTGGGGGATTGCAAGAGTGTTGTGGCAATGCATGGTATCACTTCCGTTTATACAACCAGACATTTATTTATGATATTTATAGTCTGTATTTATCACTGAGACTCGATTATATGGTGTCAATCAATACAATCAACAGGATGGGCCATTCCAATAAGCAGTGCACTAGGATTAGGATTTCAGAAATCTGAGACAAGGTTGAAACAAAGCATAAGTATTAATATGACATTTTGAACAATGCAGAAATTACATAGTAGGATAATATATACAACAATGTAGTCCACTGTATGCACATCACAGCACTGGCACAAAGGCACTCCCCCCCCCCCTTTTGCTCCCTCTGCTACTGGGCAGCAGCAGGAGCCCAGAGGCTGGGAGAGGGAAGTCTCCCAGTTACCTTATTTATACAAGACTAGGAATAAGGCCCGTTGTAGAAATAAATACAACGAGATCTAGAAAGAGGCTCTGGGAGAGTGCTCTGGCTTTGGGCAAACAGTGTCAATTTGCTGTGGCGACCTCAGCAGGGTATAATGACAGAGTCCACTGTTTTCTCCAGAGGAACTGATCTCTGCTACCTGTAGAGCAGTTGTAATTTTGAATGATCTCTAGCCCTCACCTGGAGATTGGCAACAATTGTTACCCAGGACAAAATGGCTGGTTTGGAGGGTGGAGTCTATGGCATTCTACCTTTCTGAGGTCCCACCCCTCCGCAAACCCCACCCTCTCCAGGCTCCACCCCTCAAATCTCCAGGAATTTCCATACCTAAAGCTGGCAACTTTATCTCCTCCCCTCTCAGCAGCCTCTTTCTTGGCAAAATTCTGTCTTTCTCATTAGCGGGGAGCAAAGCAGCTGACTTCATTCTCTTCGGCTTTGCGATCTGTACAGCAAGGCTGTAAGGTAGGTTAGGCAGAAAGTCTGTGGCTGGTCCGAAATCACCCAGGCAGCTTCCATAGGG